TGAGTGAGTGTGTGTATACTAATGTGTGTGTGTGTGTCTGGCGAGAAAGAAAAATAACATAGAAAGAGACAGTTTTTAATTTTGTAAGAACTGAAAATATCCCCTACAGAGAGACGGGTGGAAAAAGAAAAAAAAATTACACAAGATCTGAACTGGTTTCAAATGAACGAAAACCTCTTGTTAATGTATCTTTTTACTGGCAGAGCATGTATTGGAAGGGAAGTCGTACTACTTTCTCACAGCCCTGTAAAATGGCTGTTTAATTTATCCACCGAAAAATGGGCAGCATTATTTCGTTTACACCGACTTGTAAATTGAGACCAGCGAGTATCTTTTTAGTGGCTGACGCATTTCCTGTTGGCGTGATCTAAGGCTTCCATATTGTGCTTGGCTGCTGCAAAGACATTGGCGTTCCTTAAATGTCACCCGAGACGTATAACTCCGATTTAAAAAAAAAAGGAAAAAAAAAGAAAAAGAAAAAGAAAAGATAAGAGGAATGCTGACAAAGTGAGTTACTACTCACATCCAACAAGGAGATATCGGCCTGAGAATCGAAACAAGTGTCAAATTTGTACACTGAAGATTTTCAACTGAAGCCATTTTCTTTAGTTATTCAAAATAGTAGAGAGAAAAATCGCGTTTTGAGAAAACGGCCGATAAAGAAATATAAAATATTGGCTTTATGAGGAAATGGTGGTGACAAACATGCCCGGTATGAGAAGAAATCATGTTTTTGGGGGTTCTAATGCGATGAAATAGTTGTAGGAGAGGCTGAGGAAGCTAAAAATGCCTACAACTCAAAATCCGTAATTTTGAGCCAAATCGGGACTTTGGGGGTGTAGCCCCCCCCCCCCCCCCTTAAATTTACCATGTCTGTTACCCTTTCATGCGAAGAAATTGTACGAACACAGCCTATCCATTTGACGCATTTTTGTCCATAGGGTTGAAACCTTAGCAGAAATAACTCGCTTTGTCAGTATGCCTTACAAATAGAACAAATAAAACAAAAATAAAACAAGAAGTTGTGAACGTTTTACGCCCCCATTGACACTGTTAAGATTATTTAGGTCTCGAGCAACTTCAACCCTACCTGTTCTAACAACCGGGCTGAAGGTAATACAAGGGTTGAGGCTGAAACTAACGAAAAGAAACGCCACTGATCATTGAAAAAAAATCATCACATGAGAGTAATACAGGGGTTGATGCTGAAACTAAAGAAGACAAACGCGACTGCTCACTTTAAAAAAATGTTACATGGAAAAGAAAAAAAAGCAACAAAAACAACTATGCCTTGACCAAATTATTAATGTTCCCTGCATGTCCGATGTGAATGCATTTAAATATAAATACTGTGTTAATCTTTTGTTGCTTTTATGGGTGTTGTTGTTTGTTTTGTTTTGTTTTGTTTTGTTTTTTTTGGGTTTTTTTGGGGGGGGGTTGGGGGGAGTGTTATTACTTCTTTAGTATTATATCTATTTTGATAGTATTTCTTATTTAAAAGTGCATTGAACATTCCACATAAGGGCAAATGATATTGAGCCTACACATTATTGTGCTAAATCGCATATTGCACGAGTTGTTGGCAGTCTATTATCCAAATGTATTTTCTGTAGACACTGAACTGAACAAAAACATGCATAATATTATATTCTTTCATGAGTGTTGTGTTTTGAAGTACTGCTTAATTGGTAGTTCTATTTTGTACAATATGAATGAGTTTGCAAAACTTTATCTTATAATTGAAAGTTCTATAACCATGAAAAGTAGAACTTGTACACCTTGGAATGCTGCCATTTTGACAGTCCAACAGCCTTACCCTTCCCTTGGCTTACTTTCATACGTGCCCCCCCCCACCCTCTCTATCTATCTATCTATCTATCTATCTATCTATCTATCTATCTATCTATCTATCT